CGTCTGCATTCACATGAGGAGGGAACAATTACAGTTGTGCTGAATGATGGTGGTGCTAGTCTGATGGAGCATCTGCTGATGGGCAGCTGCTGATGCTGCCCCTCCCAACACTCCCATGATCTGAGCATTGCCGCAGCAGAACAAAGCCAAATTGGATTGACATGAAACCCTGCTGACAGCACTTACAATCAGCCTCTTGCTCCCATTAGGTGAGCAGTTCTGAAATCAAGATTTGTATCCTTGAGCACATCGGCGCAGTAAGCATCGGCCACATGCACCAGCCCTGCGGCAAAGTCTGGACAGATCTGGCTGACTGACTGCCATTGACAAAGACAGCTGAATGGCTGGGCAATCTAGCCCTACTTTGACATACTTTATGGCCTGGCTGTTGCGGTCTCAATGGTTCCAGCACGGCAAGATGCGCCGCGCGCGCCCATAGAGACAACAGAGGGCGCGCGCACGCGCACAAATGCAATCCGGCGCCATTTGCCGCATTCAAAAGATCCGGCGGGCGTGGGCATGTGCGTGCAACATGAACCTGCGCGCGCATACATTGGGTATGCGGCGGTTTTTTTTTTGTTGCTCATAAGCAGAACATTTTTCAAGATATTCATGCTTTGACTTCCATCAGGCCTGAGAAGCAGAGCCTGCATGCATGCGCGCAAGATGACAGTGAGTTGATGTACCATTGTGAGTGTTGGGTTGATGTTGACTTGCCTCAAGCTTGCCTGATGATGCCCATGGAAAAAAGCGGAGACAAGTGATTGCGGGCCGGAATGAGAGTGAGACTACTAAGGGTGGCCAAATGCAAAGAGCAACATGCCGCTGCTGCAACTCACCTCCTCCTTGATTGTCCGGCTCTGCAGCATGTTGCTTGCCTACATTGGCGATGCTTGTCTGACGATCCTGTTGGCAATTGCGGTTGGCAAATCAGTGAGAAAGGACATCATTATGGTAAACTTCCACACGCGCACTCCTCCAAATTTTTCCCAGCAAGGAAGAGGGCTCCCTTTGAGCATTGATGGAGAGCAGGCCATACAGCAAGTGCCACTGTTGATCGCCAATGGGCTTGCGATTGTGAAGAACAATGGCAACAACGTGGAGGATTGACACGACAAAGATGGTGTCCCAGAGCGCAATGGAGCTGCAAGGAGGAAAGCATGGGTAAAATGGGACCTGTCCTGCGCCCTTTGCTTTTGCAATTGTCAAAGTTGAGACAAAATGTACAAGACCATTGCAATTGTCAAAAAAGCAGTACAGAGGTGCATT